AGCATATGCATTTTTTTTAGATTTTTATTTATTTATTTGACAGACAGAGATCACAAGTAGGCAGAGAGGCAGGCAGAGAGAGAGAGGAAGGGAAGCAGGCTCCCTGGTGAGCAGAGATCCCGATGTGGGACTCGATCCCAGGACCCTGGGATCATGACTTGAGCCGAAGACAGAGGCTTTAACCCACTGAGCCACCCAGGCGCCCCAGCATATGCATTTATTAATTAGCTTATATAACCTCCATTCCCTATAAGAAACTTCCAAGGAAGGTCTTCTGAATATACTAATCATCTCATCTTATCACAAAGCAAAAGACGGAGAAACAGGCTGGTAGGGTCCAGCCCCAGCTCTGCCGCTAACTCTGCACTTCATTTCCCTTCATTTGTGACATGAGAATAGCAGAACGTGCCTTTCCATATTAATTGTGGGTATCGAGTGAGGTATTGGAAATAGCAGATCTTGTTAACTGTAAAAAGATGTGCACACGTGGACCCCGCCTTCTGTTGAGATGTGCAGGCTGTGCTGGTCATCTCGACTGAGGGCCTCTCTCTCGGCAGTTACCAGGATACTGAGACATACATTACAATGCAGAGGGGACCGAGACACCAGGAGTTGGACGCCGGCCTTGGAAACGGATTGTTTACATTTGTTTGTAGTCTCCTTGAAGCAGAGGTTAGGTCATAGTTCCTCGGACCTGGCAAAGGCAGCTGGAAACTGCTCGTGGCCACGCACCCCATCTGATTGCTTCTTTCCAGTCCTTCCCAGTGTCAGGGAAGACAGATAAGATGCTCTCTCATCCCCACATCAAGGACTCTCCCTCTGGCGGCTCTTCCAGGCAGCAGAAATGTTGAAGGTTTATTTGTGTGTGTGCGGTCCATCCACGGTGCCCAGAAGGTTCTCTTCTGGGAGAAATGAAGCCATCACGAGGAAGGTCCAAAGAGACTTGCTGGGCAGGTGTCTGCACTCAGGATGCCTTTAAGGCACATGTCCGGGGTCTGAGGCTTGCTGCTTGGTGTTGGCGATGGAGAGTCGCTCAGGACAAACTCTTAATCCGGGCTAGGGAGGAAGAGGGTCTAAAATATTTGTGGAGGAGTTACTTCAGTCCTCCTCATTGGGGTCACAGCTCTGAGGCACCCCAAAAAGGCAGCCATACAATGCCGCAGGCAATGGGAGGTCCCAGGGGAAAAGCAGTAAGAAACCGCTAAGATTTACAGATGGACTTCTTTTTCATCAATACCGGGAAACTGGGCCTGGGAAAGAAGGTGTTCTTTCTTCCTTCTTCATGGTGATAGAATCACCATGAGGATAGAGACCGGGCTTTCACTCTCCTCCCGCTGCTCTCCCAGGCACCTGACAGTGCCCGGGGCATACTTGATATGCTGCAAATATCTGTTGGTACCTGAGTGAACGAGTCCTTTGGCAGTGAGTGGAGGTGGGCCTACCTGCTGTCAGTCTTTGTATAACTTAGCAATTTCTTCTTGTGGAGGAATAAAGACTGCGCTAACCCAGGGTTTTTTCTCATCAAGAACTATGATGTGAGGTACGAAAGGAGAAACAGTGCGAGGCACAGAATCTGAAGTCCTGGGTCTGAATCTCGACTCCTTCCTCTGACCAGTGAGGCAGCCGCGGAGAAGGCACAGAAAGAATCTGAACTTCGATTTCCTCATCTAAGAACTGAGAGTCGTCATTCCTAGCTCAGGTGGCTTTGTGTTTTTGTTTTGTTTTGTTTTGAGAATTCAGTGAAAAACAATGTGTGTGATCTGCCAGTAGAGTTTCTGGGAGGCGGCGGTTCAGGGTAAGAGCTACGCTCTGACACCAGCATTGTATCTGTGTTCTGGTTCCCCCGCTTACCAGCCGGGCTTCCTTGGGCTGCCTGCTCCACTCTTCTGTCTCCTCTTCTTCATCTTGGTGGGGGGGAAGGATAGTAACATCTGTTGCATGGGGGGGGGATCACTGATGTAAAGTAGTTAACCTGTTGCCTCGAATAGCACAAGCGCTTTATTATGATTATTATTACTAATAGAGAAGCATTTTCCATTTGCATATCAGCTTTTGATAAGATAAAGATTCTTCCTGTATCTTCAGGATTTTTTTTTTAACTATCCTTTGAAGAAACATAGCCACCCCATGCCATCAGTATTCATTACAGAATTTCAATGCAGCATGGCATTTTTCTTTTTTTCTTTTCTCTTTCCTTCTTTCTTCCCCCCCCCCCCACTTTTCCTCTTTTGGAATAGAACCATGAAAACACGGAAGGACTTTATAAAGTGGACAACATCCTTTCCTCTTCCCCAGGTCTTCAGGATACAATCCAAATTCATGATGTATTTAAGAAAGAAGTGTAAACCAGAGGACACCTATCACACGGAGATACCACGGGCCATCTTTCCAGTGCGAGCTCACAGAGAATTCCTGGGTCATACAAGGTTGCTGTGTTTGAGTGTCCAATCTCTCAAAAGGGGATTCCTGATTCTTAGTGTTAGGGGGAGGCTCAAGATACATTGTCTGGGGGCACCTGGGTGGCTCAGTGGGTTAAAGCCTCTGCCTTCAGCTCAGGTCATGATCTTAGGGTCCTGGGATCAAGCCCCCCATCGGGCTCTCTGCTCAGCAGGGAGCCTGCTTCTTCCTCTCTCTCTCTGCCTGCCTCTCTGCCTACTTGTGATCTCTATCAAATAAATAAATAAAATCTTAAAAAAAAAAGATACATGGTCTGTATGGAAAACTTTTTTTTTTAAGTTCAATGCCATACTGCTTTTATTATTATTTTTTAAAGATTTTATTTATGTATTTGACAGAGAGAGAGAGCACAAGCAGAGAGAGTGGCAAGCAGAGGGAGCGGGAGAAGCAGACTTCCTGCTGAGCAGGGAGCCTGATGTGGGGCTCGATCCCAAGACCCTGGGATCAAGATCTGAGCCGAAGGTAGATGTTTATTGGACTAAGCCACCCACATGCCCTGGAAAAGCTTTTAAACTGGAAGAAGACTGGTATCAATACAGTGATGTGGTTTTCAGGGCAGATCCCTCATGCTCCCTCCTTCTGGGTCCCTGGTGGTTGAAAATACCCTCTTTCCTGCTCCCCGAATCTTCCACAGCCCTCAGAAAACAGGATTTCTCTCTCTACCTTGGTCTTTGCCCATAGGAAACTGCAGCATTTTCATGATCTGTTGCCTGTTAGCAGACATCTCCCTTCTTATTCTAACGCAAAGAGGCTGCTCACAGAAATTCTGAAGGTTAGAATTCTCAATCACATACTGTTGCTGTTTTGCAACCTTAAGGACTTACAAACGGCATTCCCCATTCCCATAGGAAAGACTGTTCACCAGAGCTGGCTCAAATCCCAGGGCCACCTCCCTTCCCTACCTTTCTCTCCTTTTCCTCTTGCTTCCTGTGAGGCCCTGGGTGTTTGAATCAATCCCCCAGATTAGGGGGTTGGGGAGAGGAGCACAACCTAGAGGACCCAGAACTGGAGCAAGTTCCTGTCTCGGCCCCACAGGGCTCAAGACCCAGAGACTTAGACCCAAGCTTGGAGCCAAATACCTGACTGTCTGCATTATAACCTATTGTTTTACCCGAATGCTATTCTCTGGCTCACTTTATTCTCACAACACTGTAAGGCAGGAATAATTCGCCAGTTTTCCAGATTAGAGAATGGGGAGACAGAGAGGTTAAGCGACCTATCTGAAATCACACAGCTGGTAAGTGACAGAGCTGGAATTCAAATGCGAATCTGCCAGACACTCAAGCTTGAGTTCTTCGCTCCATCACAAACGACCTCCGGAAAGTAAGATGAGATAAGTTTGTGAGCCGAATCCCAGAAATACTTTGCCTTGGTAGTGAAGACGTTTTCCGAACGAGAGTAGAATATTGATGATTAATTTCCCAAGGAGATTTGAATGCTGGGAATGCCAGTGAGAGCACTAAATGGAAATTAGCAGCTGCATCAGCTGGGCAAGTCTTCCTCCTGAATCTTCTCGTCTCCAAGACCCAGAGGTTATTTCTGATTACATCAGCAGCTGCATAGATCCAGCTCAGGAATCCTGAAACCACATACGTGACTCACATGTCATTGTTATAACAGTAGGAAACACATTAACTTGGCTTTAAAGGGCGTTCATTGAAAAGCTGGGCTTCCAGAAACCAGTTTCTTGGTCTGTGAAGCACACAATCTAAGCCTTTCTCCTGATGACAGTGTCATAGTGGGAGGCTGTACATTATGGGACCTGACAGTTTAACAAGACTCTCTTTGCATTTGCAGACTCTGTGTTCTAGCACATTCCACTGAACTTATAGCAGGTGACTAATGAGTATTTCACCACTGTGACATTTTGAGTTGCAAGCCATAGGGATGGTCATTTGATTGAATAACACACTAAAAATGTCTTTTAAAGACTTGTATTACAAAATCATCCTGTGGAAATCATAAACAAAAGTTCTTTCAGTCCGGTTGGGGACCAACGATACTGTTGGTCTGTTACAGACATTTCTGAATGAAGGAAGGTGTCACTTCTCTTTTCCAAGTACATGCTGTTGATTCTTTTTATAGATTTTATGTGCTTTAAATCAGGGTTTTTCCACAGTTGCCTCACTGAGGTGGGTGGGGTCTCAGAAATATTCTGCGGTGTTCACATGGGAGTTGAAGACCCAGAGCATATTGGAGGGGACAGGAACTAGGGCAGGGCAGAAATGATTAGATACAATGAAACATGAGTTCATTTTCAAGTCCTACTCCTGTCCTGGCTGTATGTTCTTTGAAGAGTCACTGAGCTTCCTGGTACCTCAGTTTCCTTGTATCTAAAAGGGGGAAAACAATTTTTCTCACAGGGAGCACTGTGAGGATTAAAATAAGATGATGGATGGAAGGTGCCTGGTACATGGTAAGTGCTCAGATACGTGGATGTATTCACTTCTTTGTCTCTGTGGGAGTAGAGGACAACAGGATAAATAATGAAACAAGTTCTCCAGTCAAGACTCCAGGGGACTGCCCCGGAGCCTGGAGGAAGAAATCTGGTGGGGCCAGAGTTCCTGGAGGGGAGGGAGGGAGGAACCAGCAGCACTCCCTTGCTGAATGCTTGCCACCATGTGCCAGGGATTAGAGTGGGTGTCAGACGAAACAGGGTAAGTTCTGTTAAAAGACATGACAGTCTAACTTGCGTGGACTGGTTTGACTTAAGAGCTTTGCTCTCTGGGGCTTTTGTTCTCCTGCTTTTTTAGGTGATATTGGGAGAAGGAGAAAGAACACATGCTTTTATTCACTTGAGAAAGCGAGAGAAAACAGAAACTAACGTCGGACCCTTAAAACTCTGGTAAAAACTGAAATGGCGGCGCCTTGAGATTTTCTTGTCATGTTACTAGGTTCTTGGGTATGAAATGAGGAAGCATCAGAGGTCTAGTAGTTATTACTGGAAAATTAACTAAGAATATACCCACAAAGATAAAGACCTGATTCGATAGTTCTCTAGATTTGGGTTTGTTTACTGTAAGGAAAGTAAAAGCAGCTTGATCTCGGTATGTATTTGGTTTTGTGAGGAGCTTTATGTGAGTGATTTTGCATAAACACACACACACCGCCTTCCGAGAAGTATCAGCATCTGCACACCTGGGAGACACACTCTGCTTTGTTCATGAAAGTTCTTTATTGTCTTATAGAAAGCGATTCGACTGGTCTTGATGGACAGCTGGATAGAGAACTCTAGTGAAAGAGGGGACATGACCAAGTTCATATGCACACAGAGGGTCAGCAAACATGGCTTCGCAACAGCCTCTATAAAGCAGCTTCAAAAGATTCACTTGAACAGTGTCCATCGCAGTGTGGATGCGTGCCAAAGAGCCTGTGTGGACCTACACAGCGTTCTCTCCACTCAGAGGCCCACCCGACCCTGAGAAATCCATGAAAAGCGTGTTGACCATTTCTCACTGTGGAGACAGTACCTTAGAGGTCCAGAAAGCCTAGGGGCCAATCAGACTCCCTGGGAGGGGCAGGGGTGAATGAGTGGACATATTGATGCTCTGGCGAGACTCCCTCAGATCCCTTCTACATTTCTAGGCACTCCTTCTCTGGCTTCCGTTGCCTTCGTTTCTAACCGTTGGCTCCCTTGGGATACCGGAGCCATTATGCCCAATAGCTCAGATACAGGGTTTTTTTTAAATGTTCTGGGTGGCCCTTGGCCCATGACGAACTGTAGCGAAGAACCTGAGCCCTCAGCTCCCTTGTCTTGAACCTGGATGAACTCAGGTGTTATTTCTACTTCAGAGCCTCCTGTGCGATCAAGCCGAGGCTGGACTTTCCCTGGAACTGTACCCTTGTGTGCCTTCCTTCCCTTCCTCCTCTCCTTTCTCTTTAGCTTCTTCTGGGGACATTTGCCTAATAAATCACTTGCATTTGAATTATCATCTTAAGGTCTGCTTCTGGGGAAACTGCCTTAAGGCAATGCATTAATCCGAATGCTTCATATTGGAATGGTGTATGTATATGTGTCTGTGTGTATAATTTAAACTATTCTAAAACTCTTCTCCTGGCATAAAAGGGGCCTGTTTGGTAGGGAGATCTTAAGACTCTCCTAGGAAGGAAAAAGTTGATTCTTGCCACCCCTGTGTTGGGAGTGAGGCAGGGATCCCTGAACGGGACGACAGACTGTGGGTGGTAAGAGCGATGGCTACGAGGAGATAGGAAGAAGGTGGTGCTTTGACTCCTAGTGAATCAGGAGTGAGAAGGAGAGAGAGAGGGAAGAGAGAGAGAGACAGAGGTAGAGAAAACAAGAACACCGGCAGCCTGGACTAGTACGGGTGACGTAAAGTGTCCTGAGACCCCCTGAGCAGCTACCGTGTCAAGCATTGGCAGATGGAAGATGTCACAAGTGTCTACCTTTACAGAAGGGTGCAGCCTACAAATTTCCTTCGGAATTCCTAGGAAGTAATGGGGACCATGAGATCCTGATATTTTTCAAGAGATAGCTACTAATTTAGGAGGCATTCAGACCATATCGTGACAGGTTTCTAATAATACCAACAGTCCAAAGCAATAGTATGTTTACAGATGGAGCCGCCTCTGGGAGTCAGGGGCTCACCATCCACGGAAACACCCAGAGAGAGGAGGAGCAGCTGCCTGGCACCCGGTAGCTGAGATTCCAGCGTCAACCGGGTGGCAGAGGGAATCAGCGACGTGGTCCAGTGGCCTCCGCCTCTTTAACTTCCAGATTTATGACCGAGCCTTTGAAAGAATAAAGTTGATTTGGGCCCAGATCTTATTCATGAGAATTAAACTTCAAATATAGGACACATTTTCTTTTCAATGTGAATGCTCCCTCTGGGCTCTGAGCTGAGGTATCCAGGGCCTCGTTATGGCACGGTGACTTGAGCCCATTCTTCCTCTTGGAAAGTGTCAAAGGAGCTAAAAACTCTGGGAGATGTGGGAGGTAGGGAAGAGATCTCTCTTCACTTGGCTAGTATTATCGAAGTCGAGAAAAGGATAACTGTTGATGGAGGTTGCCAAATAGTCCAGAAGAGAAGAAGCACATAGTTTCATGGAAAATGCCTAGCTCTAAGCTCCTCTGTAGCTTTTCACAAAGCAGGGTGGCTGTGGGTCGATATCCTTGACCTTCCCTCGTAGACACGGCGGTCTGGATAAGAGAGGGTTACACGGTGTGCCAAGGACTCAATCCTTTCCCTCTCCTTTCACCCAAAATCCCACCGGGATATTCTAATCTCCTTGGAACATGCTGCATTATCTGTACTTCTAGCACAGCTCACGTTTCAAATGGCAGGGAGCGGGGCCGTCGCATTGTTTTATAGGCACAGCCAGGAGAGGAGCTCCGATTCCTTTCTCTTGGCCAGGTGCCCTCTTTGAGGGAGAAGACCTGTGGTGTATCGAGACCAGCCAAGTGCTTAAAGATTTCAGAAACTTCAAAGACAGGGGAGGGGCCAGAAACAATAAAATGGAAAATGATAAACATTCAGCTTAAAGACAAGCCGAGTTAAAATCCCTGAGAAATTACTCCGAGCAGAGTGAGGGGCTGATTCTCAGAGGCCTGTGGCAGCATTCCATGGCATTACACAACATTCCAAGAAGCAATTATTAGCTTTGTTTTAGTTGTGATTAGCACAGTTAATGACTCGTAGAGGCGGAAAGACAATGCAAGTGGGAAGGTGAGCCCACAGAAAGGGGTTGCTGCTCCAGCCCCAAACTCACCAAGGTAGGGGAACTCACCTCACCTTTCAGGGGCCTCCACCCATTTAGAAATTTCAGTTTTGAAACTATGGTATAAGGAGAGACCCGATTATTTTTAAAAGGTAAAAGCCATTCCTATGGAATGATGAGATCTGTATTATCAGAGAACTCATCACTTCCCATGGGTAAAGCTATGCCATGGGACTCTATGTCATTAGGGTGACATTTGCACAAAGACCAGGGGAGAATCAAAGTCATCAGCTGGAATGTTTAAGTGCAAAATACTGAAAGAGCTCAGCCTGACTGTCCTGAGGGACTTACATAGCTCAAGAAGCAGGAAAAAAAAGAAAAGAAATAGACAGATTTAATTCAATTCAACAACTGTACGTGAGCAGTTACTCTGTGCCTCACACTTTCCGAGGGATGTGAGGTATACCAGTGACCAGAACATAGAGCCCTTCCCTCATGCGGCTTCTGTTCTAGAGAAGGAGACAGACAAGAAATGAAAATCACAGCCATAGACAGAATGCTCTAAGTTGATAGCACTGTGGGACAGAAGAGACAGTGAGCACAGGAAGGAGTGTCAGGGGGCTTTGGAAGTGGGCTGGAGAATTAAGCAGGCGGTCCGTCTGGAGTCATTAAGATGGTGAGATCGCGCAAAGACATGAAGGAAGTGATGATGTTGGCCTACAGGTTTCGGCAGGAGTGGCAGTGCAGAAAGTGAGAAGAGTTCCTCAAAGGGCAAGGAAGCCCATGGGGGCTATGGTGGAATGAGTGATGTGGAGAGAGGATGGAGACTCAGAGAGGTAAGGGGTAGGGGACGTCCCGTCGGGTCTCTGAGGCCATTGTGAAGATACTGTTAGGGTATAATGTCGCAAACACTAAATCTCAATGCCTATGGGTCTTGAATAGCTCAGACAGGAAAAAAAAAAAAATATATATATATATATATACACACACTCACCCTGAGAGAGAGAAAAAATATCATATAGTCCCTACTACCTTCAAGAGGTCAAGTAGGAGAGATAGATAAGTGAGCATATAATAATAATAATAATAATAATAATAATAATAATATAAGAGGTAAGTAGGTAGTATAGTCATCAAAGTCTATGATATAGGGATAGAGAGCAAGGACCATGGTCCTTTCTGGAAGAGGCAGGGCAGATTTCTTAGAAGAAAAGACAGACTCACTGACTGATTAAAGTCAAGGGTAAGTCTGTCAGGCCTTACTTGACAGAGGTGTCTGTGGGGGTCACTGAGACCCTGAGGGCATAGGTAGCTTGCCCTGAGTGCTCAGCTAAACTTGGCCTCCGGTCCAGGAAACCTTCTACTAAAGCAGGTGCTTCGCCCATGCATGGAGCCAGTGGGAGTTCTGTTGAAGTGACCCTCCCCCAGCTTCCTGCTGAGGTCGTGGGACGGAGAGCTTCTGCTCAGTTTGCTGTGGGTGACATTTCCAGCTGCGCTCTGGAAGAGTGTCTCTCTCTTCCCCTTCAGTAAAATCTAGACTGGGGACATTGTTAAGATGACCCTGTGCAAATGGATTTTCCCTGCTGGTAAATCCTCAAGCAGAACAGGGAAGAGCTCATCAAACAGAATATATGTGGGTAATTTAATTAAAGATTCACTGGAAACTTAAAGTCTTCAAGGTTGGCAAACAGATTACTTAAATGTATTCTTCTTGGGGGAGTAGAAAGTTAGAAAAAGTAGAGATTAAGAAGACCTGGGGTCACATGCAGGTTCACTCACTTACTAGCTATGTGGCCATGGGACCATTTTCCTTCTCTGTTACATGAAATCGTAATCCTGGCTTTCCCGACCTCCCCGGCCTCCCAGGACTCTTCTGAGGGTCGGGGATGAGAAAGATCCAGTAAACTCAGAAGTGCTGTGCTTATGTTGCATGTGTTCCTTTCTAGAGAGGATACTTTAAAAATTTTTATGGACTTATTTGCACAATATGACACACTTCTGCAATCTTTTGAAACCACGGTATTTTGTATTAGAAATTTAAAACCTTACAAAGATTCTCTTCCAAAGCCTACATGTCACAGATGAGCAAACAGGGGGCCCATTTAAACTGTATAGCAAACTAAAGGCAAAGGTAGGCCTGGGTCCCCTGACTCATCTTTCAGATAGGTTACAGAATGTAGCTAGTAGAGCACGAGAATGAACATTCTTCCTGCTTCTGGCTGAGTCAGAGAGACAGGAAGTACCATTTCTGCCTGGGGCTCTTCCACTGGAAGCACCTTGCATTTCCTTCCATAACAAGCACTTTCACTGGTTTTCAAAGCATTTTTAAAAAAAAAATACAAGACTATTTATCAACCATCTACCGAGTATTAAACCGATGTAGATGCTTGTATGAAAATGGTTCTCTTTAAGCCTTCCAGGAACCCAGGGAATTATTTGGAACCAACCCCATTTTGCAGATGAGAAAACTGAGTCTCTGAGCTGGAGTGACTTCCCCAAGGCCACATGGTTGATTGATAACAAAGCTGGGGTTGGAGACCACCTCTGAAGGCACCATGTCCCATATCTTTCCACTTTATCAAAACTGCAGAGCTTCTGGCAGAAGCTAGAAATCTGGATTAGAAAGAACTTACTTAAAGGAAGCAATTGAAAAAATGGAATCAGACTTCATGAACAGACCTGATGAATAGAATTAATCTCACAAATTAGACTTCGGGGATGACCTGAATTTTTTTTTTTTTATGAGATTACAAAAAACAGAGCTAACAATATTTTCCACATACACAGTGAGTTTTATCCAAAGCAGTTTCACAAATATGATGTCGATGAATCATAGGTAGGATTTACGAGTGAGTCTAACATGTAGCAATGTGGGAGGGCCTATTAGAGACAGTGTCTATGTAATAACAGAAGCACAGAAATCACGACTGCTTAAATCACAAGACACTTGGCTGAGAGGATAGATTCACTGCTATTGTAAATATATCAGAGGATAAAGGAAAGAGTGAAAATTACCCAAATTTAGTTAACTAGAAGCAATCACTTGTGACACTGTAGTGTATTTTTTCCTTTCTGTCCCTGAGCGTTGCTTTTTGCAAACATTAGCTGGAATTAGACTGTACATGAATTTCTGTATTTTGATTTTTTCACTTGGTGTTATTAGTATTATTTACTATGATATAAAACATGCTTCAAAGAAGAATATTTAGTGGATAAATCATATTGCATTACTGGAATGAAAGAAAAAAATATTGAAGAAACACCCTAGAGGGGTGAATGAGAATAAAAACCAAATGTGGAAAAAGGAAAGGTGAGATGAGTTCCAGGTTTTTGAAGCAAAAGATAAGGTCTCTGTGAGAGAAGACAGAATGGGCTCTCTCATTTCAGTGATAGCCTGGGCTCCCTAATTCTAGTTAATATTCTTTTGGCCCCATTTTGGCTGGCTGCGTTAAACTGGCTGGGTATCCTAGTGCAGGGGCTGGCAAACATTTTCTGTAAAGGGCCAGAAAGTGAGTAGTTTAGGATCTGAGAGTCATATATTCTGTCTTGCAACTACTCAGCTCTGCCTGTGTAGGAGGAAAGCAGCCATAGATAATACATAAAAAAAATGAGCATGGCTGCATATCAATAAAACTTTACTTACAGAAACAGTGGACAGGATTTGGCCCTCCATAAGGACTTTTTTTTTTAAGATCAGTCTTTGGGCTGGACTTTGTGCTAGACTCTGTATAGATACAGAGAAGAATAAACATTTTGTCTTTGCCTTCAAGGAATGGGGAGAGATAAGAAAAGGAATCGTTACAATGCGGTATACTAAGGGAAGAAAACAAGGTGCATAGGAAATGCTATGAGATCAAAGAGGGGAAGCAAAGTGGCCTTCTCCGAGCAGTAAGGAGGGCTCACAAACAGCGTAATAGGTAGCCTGGATTCCAAAAACAGACTGGGTGCTCACCTATGTGTGCCCGTTCAGTTGGTTGTGTTTTAGGTTTCTTCTCCTATAGGGTTTGGGGGTGTCTCTGTGAAAACACCCAAATCCTGGCGCTGGCCCAGATCAGTAAAGTTTCCCAAGAAACTGGTGGGCCCTTTCCAGAGAAAACTTTTTTAAAACCAAGGCCCTGGCTTATTTTCCACCCTTGTTTGATCAACCTACAAAAAAGCAAACACCAGCGCTTCTTTGAAATCCTTCTGTGTTGTGTTTATTTGGTGTGTATACATGTTGTACAAGGTACTAAAGATTAAATCATGGGGAGTTGTTTTAAGATACAAATTCCACCCCCAGGTATGGGGCAACTACGGCCTCCATTCAATTCCATAATGAGTGCCTACTACGTGCAAAAGGTGGTTTTCCTGGGCTCCTGTCCAAGATAATTATCAGCCCTCAGTTTCCAGCACACCATCCATGAGCAGCTGCAGGACAATTGCCAAGGAGACGAAGGGTCCTGCCATGTTTGAAGAGGGAGCACAAGGAATGAGGAACTGGAAAGGACGGGTAGTGGTGTTGTGGGGGCAGTGACTGTTTCTCTTTTAGCAGAAATCCAGCTGAGGTGAGTGCTAATGATTCCATTTCTAGTCTTGTTAAAAGTAGTCAGTCCCTTCAGAGATTCTTGAAACAACAGTGCTGTCTAAATACCCAGTGTTTTTCACACACTTGCACATTAATTTCCCCCAGCTCTGCCTAAACCAGCTGCTAAAAAAAAAAAAAGTAGAACGATCCTAACGGATTTCTGTGAGAGCACTGATGACAGGAAGATATGAAGTTGGAGAACTGTGTTGGAGTGCTGGAAACCTTTCTCCCCAGGGGTCAGGAAGATTTGGAAATTTTACATATAATTAAAATGTGAGTAAAATACAAAAAAGATTTGGTGTTCACGTCTTCTGCTTTGAAAATTATGAATAGGGAGCATAATGTTAAAAAAAAAAAAGAGTGAATACTAACTATGTAATGAGAAGTTAAGAGACGGATGCAGAGAGGGAGAGAAGAAGTCAATGATACCGAACAGAGGTGAAGGAAAGGGGGGAAGGGAACCCGTAATCAAAATGGTAAATTTCCTGAAGATGGTGAGAGGAAGAGAGTAAAGGTTGAATGACAGAATCAACTCTTAGTAAAAAAAGAAAAAGGAGGCAGAAGGAAGAGGAAGCGATAGAAAAAGAATTACGGTCATAAAACTTCACAGGAAATGACCATCGAGAATCTCCACAGGTAAAATGAAGGTCGACCATTTTCAGCTCTTCACGCTCTCATCCTTGATACTCCAGAGGCTCTAATCTTGATGGAACTGCCCCAGCAGCCCAACCGGGGTGCGGGTTTATGCTGGGTTGCTGTGGCATTTCTCAGAACGACATTACTTCAGATGTTGACACGGAGGCAGCTCTCCCAAGTGGACTGGTGATGGGCCCATACCCCTAGGTTATTGGCTATCGCTTAACATTCTTCATATGCCTTGTATAAAAAAGGAGTGAGACGCTAAAACCCAGAAGTTAGGTTGAGCTGAAGAGTGGGCATTTTAAAGCATTTTTCAACAAAGATAAAAGTCTCCCTTTGTATGGAGAAAAACTACATTGGAGCGAGGAAGATAACTGCCTCTGAGTCAGCACATCCTTATTGAGCAGCTGTAGCGTGCCAAGCACTGCATTTGTCTCTTTGCACACACGTCATCTCATCTAATCTCTAAAACAATGCTGTGAAGTAGTTAGTATTACCTTCATTTTCTTGGCAAGGAGACTGAAACTCAGGGAGCTTGTATGTGATTTGTCCAAGGATCTACAGCTACTAAGCAGCAGGGTTGGGGTGGTGCCCGACACGGAAGTCCAAGTGTTGTCAACCATCTCAGCATCA